CAACAACACCACACAAAGCGGCTAGCATGGCCATGACCAGAGCCACTACCGGCACCCCTTGTCAGGCTGAATGGCGGTTGGTTTCATAGCAGGCTGACTCATTATGGTTTACTATAGTCTTTAAGCCAAATATGTGGGTGGAATGTAGGCAAACATAATCTTAATTATGCCTGCTACACATGGTGTTAACTATTGACCAAGGACGGAAATGAAAGATAAAGTATAACGTACAGCGAATGTAGAGATAAATAAAAGGCAGTGAAAGTAACAAAAATATTGACTCTTTTATCTGAATGGGACATTGAGTAGGTGTGGTTTGGATAAAGGATGTTTGGGGACAGTGAGGCTGCCAGACCGGAACACAGAGGAAGGACAGAGCAGAGATCTGCTAGTGACCTTAGCACGCAAACCACAGCACTTCTATTGTCCACCAAACCACAGACAGATAACGAGCTATGTACATACATAACCTACTGACAGGGAATAAAGTCCTTCCGTCATTCTAAAATAAAAATATCTCCATCAATCATCTCCCCGAGAAATCCCTTGAATCCAGACATGAAAACTCCACATCAGAAATCTGGTACTTCAAGAAGTTGCTGTCAGATAGCAGAAAAAAAACCCACCAAAGGACATGACAGAAGTTGTGTTTGGAGCGCCTGTTGCCGTGGAGACAGAATACAGATCCAAACAATGGGTCAAAGGTTGCCCTGTTAAGGAATGTTTACCAAAGAGGGAGACGATGAGGGTTGGTATAGGGCCTTACCTGTCACCATATGCATGACATGTAAAACACCCCTGTGCTAAATTTAACAGACAGCCATGGTCTGTGCCTTGTACAGTAGCTGGGGTCTTTGGGGAATTCTGAGTATATGTTGCTGGTGGGAACACGCCGCGCTGAGGGTGACTGATATGTTGTTTCCGACTGTAACATTCAGAGGAAGGTGGTCAGGGGTCAGCAGCATCCACCCGCCTCTGTGGCTTGGCACATCCTCTGCAGCCACAGTGCTCTAAAAATAGAGGCACATAACAAATGGCTCTCACACCACGCATAACTTAAGTTTGTCACCACAGATTACACTTATAAAGCCAAATTAATTACCGCTAATACTGTTATGGCAAGCAATGATACAAATATCCAAAATATCTTTGAAAAATAATAACAAAATCACTAAACCTAGAAATACTCGAGGAGTTAATTAAACCAAAAAAGGAAAATGTTTCAGTTAGAGAATATATATATATATAATTAGAGCTGAAACACTGGCAACTATTTTGATAATCAATTCATCATTCATTGATTTCAGATTCTCAAGTGTGAAAAATGTTCTACTTTGGGAGCTTTGGGAAATTGCGACTATTCTATTTCATAGACCAAACGATTAATCAATAAGCAGATTAATCAATAATGAAAATAATCATTACTTGCCCTAAATATAGAGCCAAATCAGTACATCCACATCCGTCTATAAAAAAATAAATGCCACCTGTTGCAATACAACAATGCCAGCTAAATAACACTGTAAGACACCTGCTACACCAAGCAAGTAATAGAAACCTGCCAACAAAAACACACGGGGCAAAGAATAGCAGTTCCACCATGAGAAAAAAAAACAAAAAAACACCTGCTGTGGCCCAACATCCGCTAGACGCGAGCCCCACATTCGATGCAAGAAAAACAGCCACCTGCTGGAGGCTAACAATAGCCACCAGCTAAGCTAGCAAGGAGCCAAGAATGTATTCACTTGAACCCAATGCCTTATCCACAACAGTGAGTGAACAAGTGAATGTCCACTCATCACCAGCATGCACAGCCTCATACCCCCACTTCACATTTATCACTGTTACATAAAGGACAGAACAGCGTGAGTATGTGCTCGGTGCAATCACACCAGAGTCTTACACTGAGTGCCGGAAGGTGTCATGGGGACAGTAAAAAAAAACAGAGTACCAGTCACCTCTTGCATAATCCAGCATAAGATGGAAGGAATGCAAATGCACAATGATAAACACTTCACAGAGCCTCTGCAAACATCACCCCAATCAAAATACACACAGACACACACACCAGCCACTCCTCTGCAATCATCCACAAGACATGAGATGAGACAGTCACATTTCTTTCCGCCTGACTTTCTACACCAACACTTCTCTGAAGTTTACATACAAATCTGTCGTTCACAGAACTGTAGTTATATTATGTATATACATATATTATCTATATCAGCCGGTAACAATCGTGTTTCACAAGCACGACCCTGATGCGTCTCTTTTTTGAAAGCAGTGCGTATGACTTAAGTCCCTCCAAGTCTCCACGTTCACTGATGGCCAAGATGGTGGTTAAAAGGCATTTGAACTGCTAGAATGGCTTTGTGAAATGTCAGCATTTGAATAAGAGCAATAGTTGCACACTGCCAATCTCTCCACGTCTTTGCACAGATATCTTGGAGGGTCTAGAGAAGAGAATAACTGTATTTCCACAGGTACAAGGAAGACTAAATTTCCACTATAGATCAACTGAAAGTGTAATAAAGTGACTAATTTAGATCAAATTGATTTCACGGCCCGTTGGTCTTCCAGAATTTCAGATTTGAATCTGACTGACCTTCTGCATGGAAATATTTATCTTGGTACTTTATATATAATATCAAGGTTGTTTTGTAACATACCACCACGTTTTATCTTGACTGTTCTGTCTTCCCATAAATCAAAGGAGTGTGTACAGTAGCAATTTATGTGTTGATGTTGTCTTTAAAACAGGTTGCACTCACCATTGGCTTGCTGAAAAGATATATGTTGTTTGCTGTCCTGTGTAAACTTGCACACGTCTTCTTGTTGTGACTGATGTCATGACATGTTCAAGGCAACACATGCAAATGCTACTGAAAAAGCTGTGTGTAACACAAAGTCAGTGATTAACTATCTACCAATTGTCAATCTACCAATTGAGTTTTTATAAATATCAGCCTGGAGTTTGACTATATTCTACAAGGTTTGTTTTCAGGGTATGATTTGATTGTTTGGATTTTATGTGTCTACTCACTATATACTATATACAGGTAAAACAGTAAAAGGGACATCTTACAATTTAATATCATCCAAAAGGCCTACATAGTCCTATTATTCTGAACCTTGTAATGTTCAGACTTTGTCAACACTGTGTAAGAGAGGTATTGATCATCATTTTTTAGGCTGGTTTGTGGTGGTGTATTGTATTGTACACCCTATTTCCCATTATAACATGAGATTACACTTACATAAAAGAGAAACAAAGGTTAAACATTTGCTTTGGGAAACATTTACTGGAAAAGAATGACTCTACAGGCCACCTTCCCTGTTATTTAGAACCAAATAGGATTTTTAATAACAAATGATAGTAATTAGTCTGTGCTTGTTTTATTGTGTGATTATATTATTCATGTTGTCATCTTGTAAAACACAATTGTGATGTCTGGTGGAATTAAAGCTTTAACCCCAACCATGGTTCTTCCTCACATCTGCCTTGTGTTTACATCATTTAAAGGATTTGTATTGTCTAGCTAAAAAGATTAAGTGGGCGTCACAATACTTTGTCCTGAAAGGACTCAATAGTCCCCTACTACTATTAACCACTGAGAATCCCCTTCATGAAGTCATCATCTCTTTGGCCTCAATCAATCACCCCACGGGGGCCTCCACTGTAAAAAGCCTCCTATTAGGCGCAGTGAAAGCACTGTTTACCCAAGCTTAGTGAGTTACCTTGGGTTACTGCAGGAATGGAGGTTGTGGAAACAGTTGGCCACAGACATAATACATCACACATCATAAAGTATGTTGCTCTGTGTCCCTTAAATTCACCGGCACATGTGAGAGAAATATTGCTTAACTTTGAGATAGCAGAGGAGTTGTGACGTGCAACAAGACAAATCAATAGCAACAAGGAATTGAGAGAGATAATTCAGGAACGTGAGATGTGCTTTTATTCAAGGAATTCTGACGTTTCCACAGGTTGCAGTGTTTGGCTCTAGCTAGATAAGAGGACAGTTTTGCAACAGAAACATCCTGTTTGGTATTTAAGGATATCCCCTTATGCATCACTACATCATGAGATTAAGTGTCTTGAAGCAGTTAAAATCTTTTTTTAAAATTATTATTCCTATTGTAAAAGCTTGCTTGAGTGCTCATTCCGCTGACTACCAGCCTTGTTCACGTTGACCTCTTTCTGAAGGCAATAGCAAAGCAAGGCTGACAAAGTCATTAAGTGAGCAAGCAAGGGTTTTGAAAACGCACGTCTCACTTGAAGCGTGTCCCCTCCTCACTCCCCCTGCCCTGGCTTTTCACCCCCAGACCCCCCTTCTGACCCCTTTGTTGGGGAGAAGCAGTCTAGATCTTTGGAACTAGCTAATTATAGAGTTTTAACGTCTGCTTGGCTAAGCCCTAAGTGCTGGGGGACATTCCTACAATTGGGAGATTCACTACAAGTGTGCATGTGTTTGTGTGTGTGTGCTACCTGCATTTGCTGTTTTTATTTAAACTTTTGTATAGCTATGTCCTAAGAGAAAAGTCTGTTTTATTGGAGACATAAAATTAGTTTAACAGTAGCTCCATGCTCAACTAAAAAACAAGGCAAATGAAATAATCATGGACACATGAGAAACCATAAACCTATAAAACAGCCACAGCTATGTACAATTGATGTTTTGAGTTCTTAAAATTATCATTAAAGTTTATAAATCTTATAATTCTTCTGGATCTTTTTGGTATAGTAGTTTGGAAAACTGTAAATATTGTGAGAATAACATTCATACTTTCATATAGATACACAAAAATGAAAAGTGAAGGAAAGGAAGCCAAAAAGGAAATATTGAATGATGGTGAGACATGATTGTAGTACATGGTGTGTGTGTGTGTGTGTGCAGGGGTGTCTCTATTTTGTCTCTAAGCAAACATGCTGTTGATATTTTGGTATGAAAATGTGTGGTTTTGATGTATATTGATATGATCCAGAGCTCCTGACTTACCCCACTCTTAGGTTTTGTTCCAAGGGCCGGTGCAGGTGTTGAGGAGGAGACAGCAGAGTAATCTGGATGTGGAGGGTTTGATGCTGCTGGCACTGATCCTAAATCAAACTCCTGCACAGGTATAAGACAAAAATGACAATGTAGCAATTATATTTTTGTGCAAAAAGCAGAGCATGGTTTTGCAAAGCACAGTTCGTCACAGATGACTGATGCCCAGTGTCTATAGACATTGATATATACATGACCATATTCCACTTTATTGTACATAGTGTATATATTTTATTATACTTTTATCATATTTGATTTTATTGTATTTTATTCTTTCTCTCCTCTTTGCACTACATTCCCCTGTGCTACTGTGTGGGGGATCAATAAAGGAACATCTTATCTTCTGCCTCATACTGGCCACTAGGGGACAGATAAGATAACTACAGGTGAGGGAAGACATGAAAGAATGAATGAATAAAGGTAATTCCAAATCCAGCAAAGTAACATGCAGGTTTGTACCAGGAGTTGTCGTCGATGGAGGGTCGGGGTGCTGTCCATAGAGGAGGTGGCACTAAGGGCATTTTCAATTTCCTGGTCCAACTGGTCCAGCTTCATCAGCAGCAAAACCATTGAGTCCAGACGGGCATGCTCACGCTGAGAGACAAATCAGAGATTTAAAAAATATCATAAATGAAGCAGGACAAACTATTATTGTGATTCAGGATGCCGTCCATTAATCGCATTGTTGGCGGTTCAATCCCCAGCTCCTCCTGTCCACATGTCCTCGAGCAACACGCTGAACCCCCAAATTGTTCCCGATGGATAGGCCGGCGCCTTGCATGGCAGCTCTGCCCTCGTCAGTGTGTGAGTGGGTAAATGAAAGGAAAATTGTAGACTATAATATAAATGCACTGCATTTCCCATCAGCCTCCCTCCACAGTTATATGAGGATGAGCCTGAAATAAATGGGGGATAATATTGATTTGCACAGGATATGTATTCCTGCCTACTGAGGTGTTCACTGTCAAAAGAGAAATTACCTGATGAACATCCATTATATAATCCGAATAAAGGACATTTAAAATTCATTCATGTCCTTGCGTGCAGTAATCTAATCACTAATAATCCAGATAAATCAGTAATTCAGATTATGTGTATATGTGGTCATTCCAGTTCAGGCTACGTTTAGTTGGGAAACATCAGTGATTGCTGCTTTCCTAGAGTATTTATCTTTCATACGCATTTAATGGAAGACTTATCTCTATCATTTAATCAGTAATAAATAAGAAACACTAACTGGCAAGTCATACATTTTATAGATTCATCGGCTTTGCTGACTGACTAGCTGGCTTGGAAGGCACTAGTATTAGCTTCTCTCAAACCATCCCATAGTTCTTACTTTCATCTACCTCAAGGCCACCCAAGTGATCTTGATCTATCATATATCATCAAAATATTAAACACTGATAAAACATTTTTTAACAACTACAATTAATAATTAGTTGTGACAGCTCCGAACAATTAATGTCAAACTGACTCAGCTCTGTTTCACGTCCACTGTAACTTTGGCTCTCGGCCCTTCATGCCAAAAGAATTGAGAAACTCTAGTCTGTAAACTATGCTCATCCTTCTTTCCTTGCTCCTTACTTCTCTTTCCAAATAACTCTTATCCCAAACTGATCTTCTACATCCTTCTTTCTGCACTTAAAATAAACCTGTCTTCTCTGTTTTTCCACACACACACACACTGTGCATTTTCTGTTTATCTCTTTTGTATCATCTGGTCCATTTTTAATAATATGACTTCAAGACTTAAAAAGTATTTTCCCTTTAGTCCTCTAATCTGCACTATTCAATTATGCAGTCTGACGCTGTGATAACAAGTTCCACACTGACCTCAGGTGGCCTGTCTCCAGTAAGACAAGCTAAATGACATACAATCCAGCCCACCTTCACACTCCACCTACCACACTATCCCTCAATCCTGTTTTGATTGATGCAATATAAGCCCTTGTCTGAAGTTCAAAAACATGTAAAATCTCTTTCTGGATCTCTTAACACAGTATATGTTTCCATTTCCCCTTTGCCTCTGTCTTTCATCCTGCCTCCGGGTGTGGCTCTCTCGTGTCTGAGAAGAACCCCCGAGAAATTACATCACACGGCTGGCTCATTAGTCCCAAACAAACCTTGTTACAACCTCCACTAACAGACCCTGTTAAACTCTGAGCTCATGGGACACACAGCCACCGTGATTGTATGTTTGTGCAAACGTATAGAGGCATGTTACCATATTGAATGTGAGTCTGGTTTTCATGTGTCTGTTCTTAGGTGTGACACATTAGAGAGAAATCTTACTGGGTTATGTAGTATAAAGTAAGTACTCTTCACAAGTGATAAACATATCCTGTGAAGTGGCAACTGTGGATTGATCTTGTTTTAGTTCAGTTTACAATGGGTGTGTGATGACACGATTCATATGAGCTGAGCTGTAACTAATGCTAATGTGTGTGAAGATGACAGGCTTATGGATCGTACATAGAATAGGCATCATGATAAACAAGTTGCATCTGCAACCCTGCGCATGGCTCTGAGCACCATCCCTAATAATGTCTCATGACTTGCGCTTACATATATTTTCCAGTTAGTGCCCAATTACCCTGTCAAAAGCAGTTCCTATCGGTTTTGCTAAGGGAGCAAATAGACATCGAGGGCCGTGTGTCATGGAAATGTGTCTCACATTGATGCATTCATTGGCATTCCTAGCTCGTGGCAGCGCACATTGCTACGTTTTTTTCTCCTTGGCAAAGTATCACAATGAAACATTGTATCGTGGTAAAACAATGACATCTTTACGAGGCCTCACTGAATGAACAAAAGCATCTGGCTCGAGATGGCAATAACAACCACAAAACGGCAGAGTAAAAAACAAGTGCAGTGCAATGTCAGGCGCCTCAGAGAGGCAACGTTTTTAGGGGGCATTCTGGTGGTTTGGGTGTTCTCAGAAGGTTTTTTTTCTCTGTTTCCCATCTTTTGAGGTTTCTGTTACATTCCTCTTGACTTCCTGTTTTTTGAGATGGGAGACAGTTCCCACACTGTTTGAACTCTGAGACCCCTCCTTCCCCTTTCCTTGCTCTCTTTTTCAAACCCCCTCTTACACCCGGTGGTCTGCATCCCATTTCTCAATTCTGTCCATTAAACTGTCTCTTTCTCTGCTGAGCTAAACCCTGTACAACGTTGTACATCAAAAATACTGTGCATACATACACTCATTTTAATGTAGGTATCTTGTCAATTATGTGACCGACAGACAAGCATTTAATACATAAGAAAGGAAGGGCACAAAAAGAGACAGAGAGCACGCTGGGATGCTGATGTTGCCAAGTCGTCTGCTGTCAGATAAACGACAGTTGAGCCAGTTTGGCCCTGAGGTCAGGATAAGGCCTTGTTGCTAAAACAAATAAACACAGTAACAAAGCCCAATATCAACTTAATCTGAAGCCATTATGCAAACCAGATGGGTTCATTTTACAAACTGAAGCTGCAACAACAACACGGTTCACTGGGGACAAAATCATTAGTTAGTACAATATCTTGTCAGAGATAATTCCAGGTTGCTGTTGCCATTGTGCAGCCAGAGATAATGAGATCAGTTCTGTAATTTTCTTCATGATATTCAAGAGATTCCATTCTCTTTTCTTTATGCTAAATACAATACCTCCCTTGGGGGTTTTTACTGCCTAATTTCTCTTTTGTCCTCACGACCTTCTCTGAAGCATATTTAGTAAACTGGCTTCATTCAGTGTGTAAATACACCCCATGGTGAAAACCCTGTGGTGCAGTCAAAGAGAAGGCAAGCCATCACCATATGGTGGATGGATTGCCTTTGGCAACTTCCACTTTTATGGCTAAACTCCTCTTTTTGAGTTCCAGGGGCCGTTTTTTTGGGATATTTAAACCAAAGGTTTAAAGTCATCCTAAAATTGAAACTGGAGCCAGTGGTAATAAATGCAGCACTGGTTTTCCATGTCCCTACACTGGACTATGATCTCTCGTCTTTGGCAGCTGATGGAGTGACATCAACATTGGTCATGACTAAGAGGACCTCCAAAGTTTCTATGCAAACACAGAATTTATGTTGAAATAATGCTGTTAAAAATACATGAAAATCTCTGGGATTACACAACTCAGAGGCTATTTAGGATAAAACTAGAGTGTCAGTGTATGATGCATCAAGCAAACACGCACATTACTCACTTGACATCATAGCTGGTTCTAGGCCTTACATTCAAGGTTAAAAGACATTTGTTTAATTGTATTTTTCAAAAGTGGGTTGTAGTGGTCTGTATTAGAACAACAACAACAACAACACACTTCACACAATTACACATTATCAGTGTAGAAACATACAGAGCTACTACATAAAAAAAAAAATACACTTAGTTGCCAGTTTATTAGACACAGTTAAAATTAAAACAGTCCTGCAATAAATCCTACCTCCTTGAGGGTTCAGTTTTTGTATTGCATTGTATGTATGTAAGGGGTTTCTGTAATTTAGCCTACCCTCATTCATATGAGAATAAGTAATAGAAACACCTGTCAGAACAACGCAATATAATTCAACAGCATCATAAACTGCAGCTTCCAAAATTATCATTATCAATCAACTGGGTGCATATTAGAGCAAGTTATAAACAATGTCTACAACTCAACAGAACCAAAAAAATACCACAAGTCATCACCAATGGAGCATATTGTCACATATATAAACCACGGGAATCAAGACATCTCACATCCCGTACACTGAGCAACATTTGGAACATGCCACTATTAACCACCATGATGGATGGTTCAGTTGATTGATATCATATCACAAGGATCATATAAAAAATAACTGATTTATTTTACACTAATATACAATGGAAAACAACTCAGTGATTAAAATAGTGTTAACCTTTTTTTTAAAACCAATGCACTAAATCTGTACAAAGATACAACTCTTTATGTGTGTGTCTCTCGTCTTCAACAAGAATGCGTCCCAAGAATTTAACTTTCCACATTATGGCACCGCTTAATGTGCCCTGCATTGTAAATAATGGATTTCTTGTTGTCATTCCAAAAATGCCAACACTGCAACTACTATTAATGAATAAATACTGTGTCAGTTCTTAAGCCATTGCTTTGTTCCAACAAGTTTTTGGCACTTTACTGTACCTAACAAGCACGCTGGCTTGCAGAGTGTAAATAGTACAACATACAGTATTTGCTGGAGAAAGCAAGCCTTTCACCCCAGAGACGGCTTGAGCTTCCAGCCCCCTCTGTGTTCATATTCTCTTATGCCCTTATAGGACCTTGTTTTTCAATGAGCGGTTGAGAAAGAGTAAAACATTTCACAGATCCCCCCACTCACAGATCTGTAAGCATGTGAGAGTGAAGTCATTGTTTTCCGAGACGCTTGCCAGAGTGTGGGACAAAAATTATTTGTAGGCTGTATATGCCCAGTAAGTGTCAATTCATTTTGAAAAAAAAAACCCTTGAGGTGCCAAAGACAAAATAAATTTGAACCAATATCACTTATGATCTACTGCATCCCTTTCCACGTCTACAATAGATACAGCCTTACCTTTCTCATGCGCACTTTGACCACATTGTCCTCTTTCTGATCTCCAGGTTCATTCGTTCCATCTAAAACTGGACTGGCCAGTTGTATGTCACTGTAAATAACTGTGTGTGTGGCCTCATCTGACTCCTCCATCCTACAGAGTGACGCTGCTGGTTTGTGTTGTTCCCTCTGACCATCTGCCACCTCAGAGGCAGGTGACTCACTGAAGTAACAACCAGAGGCCTCTTGGTTGCCATGGAGTCCTTCTGCTGAGAGCTCAGCGCTGACTTCTCCCGAGCATGGTGGCAGGTTTCCGGTGTGCTGTTCAGTAACTGCATGTTTATCATCCATGTGAGAGTGCTGAACATCTGGATTTTGGGCGAAATCTGAGTTCTTTTGAAGATCCAGTACAGGGGTGTCATCTGGCGCAACGTGGCTAACTTCTGGGATAGTATCCAGTTTGGAACAGCTATTTTCCAACTGCTGAGCTACGGTTTGATCTTCACAACAAGCCAACTCTTTGGACACTGAGCGTTCATCAGCGTTTTCCGTTGGTGGACTTACAGAGGTCGCCGTTTCCACACATAGGTCTGCATACTGAGTAATGTTTGTCTGAATGGGGTTTTCGTCTGAATATCCAGTATCCAGTTTTTCAGATGTACTGCTGTTAACTGTCAAAGTGCAACACTGACCTTTGAAAAACATATCAGATGATGTGATTGGCCCATACCTGACTTCTGCTTCTTTCCCGCTGCTTTCTGCTTGTGCACTTTCATCTCCCTGAGGCCCGTTCATTGCTGTCATTTCAACATTATGCTGTTCCAACAATGTCTGGTAGGGTATTTCACAACCACGAGCCTGATCCAATACCCCAGTGTGGTCATGATGATCCTGCTCTCCTCCTTGAATGTCTCTTGAGTGATGTTTAAGTCCTGTATTTTCATTTAAAGTTTCTGGGCCATTTAATCCGTCCAGCTTGTCAGCAGAATCTGCGCTCCAGCTTTCAGTTACTCCTTTGTCACATACTTCTTCTACCACTAAAGTCACAAATTGTTCCACAGTTTTGTTAACCTGTGGCATTACATCACCACTCTCCATAATATCAACTGAACTGTGCAGTACACCAATAGGTGAGGTTACACTTGCATCAGCATGGCCAACGGTGGAAATCTTCTCTTCTTCTACATCTGGGAGGTCAGTCTGAGGTTCCAGTTCAGCAGCAGAGGACTGGTTTAGTGCGGCCTCAGAGATTTCAGGAGGTCTGCTGTAACCCTCTGTATGGCTCTCCTTTGTTTCCTGATGATTTGGAAGTTTGCCAGGCTGTTCACCAGCAGATTCAGACAGTAGAGGCCCATTGTTTGAAGAGATAGAGATGCATTGTTGCTCTTCACGAGAGATTTGTCGACTTTTAAAGACATTATCGTCATTGCAGATGTCGTGACTCTGGCTACTCTCTGTGCCAACTTCACCTTCTCCATTAATAGTTTTCTCACGGTGACTGCTGCTATCAGTTGCACAAGAAATATTTACAATAGACATCCCACTGTTTGAGTTACAGTGAAACTCTCCAGAATTCCCAGTGTCTGTGGTTTGGGGATGCCCTGATTCAGAGGCCCTTTGGGGAATGTCAATATCCACTAACTCTGAATGAAATGAGTCCTCCTGCAAATCCAGTGGAACTTTTACATTGCTTTCCATAAGCTTCAATTGTTCTGATTCAGTCTCATCATTCACGACAGAAGCCGTTACCTCAAGTGTCTGAACCAGGTCCTCTGTGGGCAGTTGGTGGCAGCCCTCTGGCATGGAGGCACACCTCGTCCGTCTACCTTGTTTGGAAGCCCCTGCTCCCATCCAAGGCCCCTCGCTGTCCACCCCATGGCAGCAGACCAGATCCAGATCATCATAGCTGTACTGTAATCCTGAAGCATGAGTTACGTGCTCCTCCCAACTTCTTTTCCGTATGGCTACTGGCATGGTGGACAGCCAGTGCTATCCCATACAGCTTTTGACGCCAGGCGAAAATGCAGCACCAGATCTGCTGCAATCGAGAAGAGAAATTATTATTGTAAAATTATTGTAGAAATGATTGTAAAAAATGTTTCACTTTTAAAGTAAACAGCTAGGCAGTAGTGAGTGGAAGTTCAAGAGGGGCGTAATTACGTTTGCATTTATAATTCCTTGTATAAACTCTGCGGGATCTGTTCAAAATGACAGGTTATACTAATCTAACAGGGGAAAGTGATATCTTTTCAAGCAGAGCTGTGCCAAATTTCACATTACAGCATGCCAGCTACATTGAACGTACTTGATCTGGAACAGTTGTTTTTGCCTGAAGTGTTAAGTAGCTTCCATGTATAAAGCCAACAAAGCTGCCTGGATTCTAAAACATCAAGATAAACGTGATGTCCCTTGTTTACTTTTAAATATCTTTACACAATGAACTGTAACTGAACCAGCTTGTCAAATTTACACTGCAAACCTTCGATACACATTAACTTTAACTGTGCAAAACCAATCTGAAAAATGTTGGTGAAATGTCATTCTGTACCTACCCATGCTCTACCACAAGCCAGCATTATCATAATACATACTGTGGGTCCTATCCCATGAATCAAACCAAGCTCTATACTGCGCTCTGTTTTTTTTCCTGTTGTTCTAGGTCAGAATGTACAGAAGTAAAAGGAACACAGGGATTCAACAAGCAGGATGTACTCAATTCAAGCTGAACATCTGCTATATTTAAAAAAAAAAACATGCAAAAAGAAGTCCTGGGTATGCCTACTGTATTGTACAGTAAGTAACTGAAAATTAGAGACTACAATTTCCATACAATTTGTCATGTCAAAAATGTTCTAAATGAAATAGGTATTGTGCACATTATGTCACTGTGCTCCTTCTTACCCAACAAATTTCTTTAACAGTAAAGGTAATATAAAAATTTCAGACCAGTGTTTTTCTCCAGTTTTTCACCTCTTGTTTCCTCAGAAGAAGAGCTTGATGGTAGCCACTGCCATCTGCACCCTCTGGCATGAACCTGCACCTGGTTTTTAGTTAAGTACGGGAGGTTATAAAAAAATGTCCCTAAGCAGTTGATCCTCCTACTTGCTCTCGAAACAACAGAAAAACTGACACCTCATAACATTTTAGATATTTTAAGATTGAGTAACAAGGACTCCTTGTAAATTCTACGGTGTGGAAACAGTTTGTTACAAAATAATCCAGTAGCTGTATATTCAGTAATTAAACACCAGGTGATAATCCAACAAAGATCCAGTATTTGCTTTGAGTACAGTTATCCAGAGATGTTTCGCAAGTTGCCTTTTCATTCATCCACCGAAAGCAATGCGTCCACGTTTGGGAAATGTGAATCCATCTCTTTCCAACAGAGTTGACAAGAGTTTTATTTTGTAAGCAGTACTTAGTCTAGGATTCTGTAAGTCATTTTCTGGACTCCAGTCAGTATCTCCGCTGTAAAACTGTCGGAAAGGCAGTGAAGCCCCCAAAGGCAGGCAGAATGCCGGGGAGCAGAGAAAAGTCCAAAGACAACTTCCATCTTGATCACATTAGGGTTTTTGCTGACGCTGAATGCCGAAGAGTTGGGGTGGTGTAAGAGGGGCCGGGTTTTCTTTCCCCCACTCCACCCCTGCTCTCCTGCGTTCTATCCCTTTTCTCATCAGGTCCCCTCCCCGCTGGTTTTGACAGGGAGTCTGAGTCACATCCTAGGAGCCCCATCCCCCGTCTCACAACTTACCCAGCACACTATACGCATTTATTCACTCCACCCTCCTCTAATGTACTTTCTCTCTTCACCGCTTTAGAAACTTCCTCTCCGCTTCTCCTCTCAAAAAACCTGTCTCTTTCCTCTTCTTAGTCTTTCCTCTTCTCAGTGGACGTTTTCTTCGTTCTGCCTTAGCTTGCTATCTCACTAAGCTGGGCAAGGCTCCCACCAGTTGGTTTTGATTAGTAACAGACAGGCTGCCTTGTAAGACCTCTGGCTGTGGGCCAAGAGAGATTGCTCTAATGTTTTGGCAGTTATTTCTGAGGCATGTTTTTTTTTAAATTTGTCATCTTGTAACTCTACAAGTATTCTTAAAAAAAAACACACACTGGCACTAATAAAAAAAAAAGCTAAATATTTCTAGAAAATCACTTTTAAAAAGCTTTTTCACGGTGGGGACAATGTGAAAAGTGCTATCAACCTGATCTTTGTTTTATAGAAGACCAAATGGAAGAAAAAACATTAAAAGGACCCAAATGCCAGTAATTCACTTCCTAATATAGTCATTGGTCAGAGGCACTCAGCAGAAAGACAAGGCAAAGCCAGGGGTATTTATACTTGAGGTCACTGAGATAATTTAAGACAAATGTTAATTGGCTCATTTTGTCTTTTAAGTTTGATTGAGACAAGGGTTGTAAAACAAATAAAGTATTCCAAAGACTTTTTGTAGAACCGATCTCAACTGAAAAACCTCAAGTGCCCTAAAACCTAATTCAGGCTGTGAACAAATCTACCAACACTATGTGTCAGTTGCACAAAAAGAGCAAAGCGCCAAAGCAACAGGGACAATGCAAGCACAAGAGAGAACTGGAATGAAGCCCCCTCCAACTATCCCTAAAACCCCGGCCTCTAACCTCTGGGTCATCCAGATGTGAGGTGAGGTTCTGGAAGAGTCTTTTCTTAGGGGCCTCGCTGGGAAACTGTACACTGCTGTCAATGTTGGCTCTCTAGGGACACAGATGTTCATACTCAAGGGGAAGGATCCAAGTTCAACAAGACTCCTCTGCAGCATGTCACATGATGCGCTCTGTGGTTACGCCGAGTGCAGTGTAACAAAACGCAGATCTTTTCGGTCACAGTAGCTTCCATGTGGATATGGCTGGTGATTGAAGTGCAGAGGCCGACACAGAGCATGACTCAGGCTATCCACTCATTATCTCCTGTGGACATCCAACACAGGCCTATAATTTAAAAGCTAAGCCTCCCCCCTGCCAATCCGACCATCCTGCACAGCCACAGGGCAACTGGTCTACGTCACAATCTGATCCATTAGCGACACTGTGCAAACACATGTTCAATCATCAACAACATGTGTGAGACTAGAAGCCCATCAGCAATGTTTCTGAATGTGCGTGTGTCTGTCAGCTGCTGAAGTACCGAAGCATTCAAATTGGTGCATTAAAACAAAATGGAGCTTGAATAAGTCTAAGAGTAAACAGCCTGTGAGGCATTGCTTTGAGATAATGCTAACATGCTGATGTGTATGTTGACTGTGTTCACTATTCTAAGCATCTGTTAGCATGGCAACATTTACTAATCAGCACAAAACACAAAAGTATAACTAAGGCTGATGGGAATATAATTTTGCCATTATATTATATATGATGATATATTATATTATCGACGTGCAGGTATTTGGTCATATACCACAGTACTGGACAAAATGCATTTTTGACATCAAGGCATCGCCAAATTTATTACAATTTATGCTGATGGTGACATGAATGTCTGAACCAAATCCATCAATAGTTTCAGAAACATTTCACTCAAAATCACAAATGTCAACCTCATGATGGCGCTACAAGAAAAGTCAGAAGATCATCATTAGTCAGTAGGACACATCAGCTAGAAACCATGCACGTCAGTATAAAATCTCATTCCCATCCATCCGATAGTTGTTTGATTAGTTGTGTTTTTTCGGTCTGAACCAAAGACTCGTGCCACTAGCTTAGCTAAAAACGCTTCACTCTCAGAATAATCTTCCACTTAGCACAAGCTTCACACTTTTGACTATGACTTCACAAAACAGTCAGAAATATTTGAGAGAAATTTGAGAGTTTGTGAGTATTTATTTGAGTCACCGTTGCAGGCCAGACAGCTGTCCCACATCACAGAGGACGAGCATGAACATTTTCACAGGCATGCAGCATCATTGGTCACATGTCTAGAGCGGTCACATACATGTTAAGAAAGACCTATTCATGATTCACCCTATAATCCCCCACTGTTCAACCCCTCGACTTCTTAAGTGGAGCAGTGAGGGCCCAAAGGAAACAGCCTCACATTCCTCACTGATATAGTTTATTATTGGAAAAATAAGCCAGTCTAAATCATGGGCATTGAAGAACACACAGTCTTTGCCCATGTAGGAAAATGTAGGTGACGCTTGTGGAGAAAAAAAAAACCTGTCCCTCCTATAACTGAGTCATTTTGAGCCCTTGCATACACAAAGACTGCTTTGAGAAGATTTGCTTCTTTCTTTTTAAAGCTTCTTTAAATAACAATTTTCTACTGTACTTGCCTAGTAGTTATGCGAAATAGTAAAAATGGATCTCGGATTCATTTACGCTAAAAAGAAAACTAAACCAAATGCCAGAATCTCATCTGAAGATCTAAGAATAATATCAACAAACCACACCAAGATCCTTGCAATCCTTTCCTGTCACTTACTATGCCCTGTGGTTAACAACTCCTTTTCAAAAGCCTACAGTCATGCTGGTTTAAATACCAGCATTTGAGGCCTGGGTGGGAACTTCAGCAAACGCAATTTTGTTGAATGAAGCATCCCGATGTGGATGATGCAACTTAGGAGCATTTAGAACGCCAGTTGAGGGCTCAGTGGCTGTCTTAATTAAAAAATGTTTTTAAAAAAAAGTCTTTAATCATCTATGGATATTAACTTGCAGTGCTCGTGTGGGTCTAAATGCAAAAAAGTCGTCGTGGGAGAAACCGAGGGGGCCTTGGCCACTGATCATGGGTTATACTGTGACTGCTACCGTGGGAACAGGAAGTACAAGTTATTGAAGATACAGACCATAATAATCTCCAGGCTAAAATAATCTATCTAATCTTCTTGTGAGACGATCTGTGTGTGTTTGTGTGTGTGTGTGTGTGTGTGTGTGTGCAAGAGCAAGAGAAAGTTACACACTGTGGGTGGTTTTGTTTGTGTTTGTATTCATACTATGACATGTTGTTTAGTTTGTCAAATCAAATGAGACAGACTTGTGTCATCTGGGCCTTATATTTTTATGACGACAGTGGAAAAAAAACACTGAGAAAGTGACTGCTCTTTGTTTTTTCGCATTCTGGCATGGTAAAAAAGTCCTTGATAACCAGCAGTGTCATAGCGAAGGGGAAATTGCCATTTTAGAAGTCACTGCTTTTACTAACAAACATCCGGCATCACAGTCATTTTATTTGTGTTGAACAGCATTTGGCCATACCTATTAAGGATGACTGTATAGTTAAAATACAGCAAATATACCCACGTACAAAACCACCAGCATCATTCACTTGGGAGGAACATCCTATACTGTGACAGCTCCTATTATTTTACCCATATCTAACACATTGCCACGCACACCAATATCCTGTTAATACTCTGGTGACTGGAATATCCAATTTTTGTGTTACTGCTTGTAAACGTGATGTATTATTTATATATATTTGGATAAGCACCTATTCCCCTTTTAAGACACCCATAATCAATATACCTATTATATACAGGCTTAGTAAATAGGACACTAATATACATGTAAACAGCCTATTCCAAACAAGACCTTGGTGGTGGCATGAAATGAAGACTTCAATGTCTAATCTCTAAAAAACTGTTTCCCTACCTCATCCTAGACAAGCGGTGACAAACGGAAACTTGAAAAAAGAAAGCCATTGCAACTTTTAGAAAACTCTTGCCTCATCGCGTCTCCTTCACGCTCCTTTGGCTGTCTGTGCCTTATTCCAGACATCCTGGATCTTTGTTCTCCAGAGCACTCACCGCTTGTCTCTCTCCCATACAAGAATGGTATCCTTGAGTTTGCCCTCTTTGCATGTCTTTATGGTTGAGAGGCGGTTGTGTGATCCAGGTCCTACCAGGTTTCACAGCACGTGGAATTTGCTTCACATCCGAATAAGGACGAAAAAGATGCAGTCTTTAAAAGAGGATATGTGTTCAGGAAAACATTGTGCAAGTAAATGTTCTGCTGATGTAATCTATGTGCATCTCAAAGAGACAGTTCCATATGGATCAGGGCAGGGTCATGTGGCAACAACAGCTGGATTTCATCTGTGTACTCAAATGCCCCATAATCCTATAACCACCTGCACCTGAGCACATTCTCACACTTTTTAGCCTTAACATGTGCGCAGGAGTGCACACAGCCATATCTGACACACATAACACTCACATGTGCATTAGTACTGGATGTGGTAAATGTTTCACAGGCTGATACCACAAACATGCCGCCACGTACAGCCATACTTAAACTGGTTTATCAAGCAGATGTTCAACCTTGATCTTGTTTCTGATTTTTTTTTAAAAACTCAAATTTGGATTTGTGCTTATTTAGCCAACATAAAGCTACAGTACTTAACTCAAGAAATTCCACTTGAATGAGAGAGCGACTGTAAGTGATTCACAAAGACTCTATTGTGAAACTGACACTTGAGTAATTTATCACCACCCCTTTTATCCATTTCTGCGAAAAGTAGGTGCAATGTAGACAAATTATTTGCCTGTTGGAATTCATCGCATCCTCCAAAACTTGCCATTTTATAACAGCTTGAAGCTTAGAAGTATCTGAGGTCAGAGACACACAATATTTATCTTCCCGTCTTGTTGTTTATGAGGAACGATTCTTGAGCTTGGACCAGACCCTGCGAAGGCCAGGATAGTGACGTACTACATCCCCCCGCCCAGGATTCTGCAGAACATATGCTGTGCTGGCATCATCTCTTCCAGTAGAGATCCAGGAAAACGTGTTGTCCTTGGACACCGTTGCCACAGCAGCATCAGCAGGAAATACTTGAGACAGAGAGTCAGGAGACGAGGGGCCAGGAGCTGTTTCATCATTTGACGAGAGAGACCTCTGAACGGTTATGTTTCCGCTCCATGTTAGTTTGTATTTTGGTTCCAAATGTAACCTCCCAGCATCTGTTCTCTCACATACATTCACGTAAGATCCCAAAGTGTTGTGTTCAGCATATGTTCTCACCCTGCGGGATCTCTATTACCTGTTTGTCTGGAATACAGTGTTTTTGAAAAAGGCTGCGGGAATTTTGCACTAGTCAGGGACGCAACTGATAAGATTGCCACAGTTAAATATTTACCTTCCCTTCCGGTCTTATACGCAAGGCAGCAGAAACATTTATAGTGCAATCAGAGCAAAAGGAAAATAAGACGTAAGGCACCTCTTCTTCAGGAAACTGTTTGACATTCCAGCCCACTCAGGAAAGAAGAAACCTCTTGAAAAACAGCATGTAGGGGGCGATGCCTTCTTGGAAAAGATGCTACCTTAAACATTGGACTATGGTCAGGAGCCACCAACGGCAAAACATTTTTAAACCTAACCTACTGCGAGCATGGTACAAAGAACATAAATTAAGTTTATTAGGGCAAAACCTGCTGTTGATAAGACAGAAATAATGATTCACATGGGCAATTTTTGTTTCTAAAGATGCTTAAAGATACAACACAGCATTCAACTGTGATTCCACATCACTAACCTTTACCTTCTGCTTGGACTTGTAAATATGTGTGCCTCTTGAAAGCTCCTACCACATGCAGTTAGGTTGCACAGTTTGTGAGGAGACCGTCCTTCAGCTGGAGGGCCTTGCAGCAGTCTCTTTTGTCAGCAGGCATCCCCACTCAAGTGTCTCTGAGCAAGACAGCGCCCTATAGTCCCCCAGCAGCAGGGCTATCTGGGAGTGTCTGTAAGGAATCAATGCATTGGCCTTTGATGGAAGGAACTGGTTGTGTTAACATGACACAGACTGCTGAGGGCGACAAAACCTCATATTTATCAACGCAGGGGGCTGTTGTACATGTGGATAAGCACATCTGGTAGTTTAGATTTGTATATGTTGATAGATTATTTTGAACACACTGAAAGAAAACCCCAGGGTAAAGGTAAAATGGTGTGATCCACGTTAGAGTCACTCAAAGTGTCCAGCTTATCCTCTTCCTTGTAGCGTTAAATGTGGAACTAACGTTAATATAACGAATAAATAAGTTAAAAGTAAAATGTTACTCAGAAAGTATGGCTTTTCCTAAGTGAAAACGTGAAGAAATAAGAATAGTTTATTCACCTGCCTGTGAAGCTCAACATTACTCACCTTTGTGGATGAAACGGCTGCCGCAAGGTGGCACAGTTAGCAAACTACACCTGTGCGCCACTAACCTGCTCCAGTATGCTGCTTTCACAGACAACTTGTAACTTTCAACACCCTGCGTGGACTTCACTTTTGTTGGGAAACAACAGAATCAGATCAGTAAGAACATTTGTTTGTTACAGCTGCTCAAGGTGCTCACACGATGATAAAGAATATAAATAATAATTATATTACAATATCTAACACAATATATAAAGAAATAGAAAATGTACATATAGGTATATACATATAAGTAGGAATAAAATATAAATATTAGAGCCTAAATATGTACCTTATAATACAATATATTTAATACATAGACAGAAGTAAATATATGCCACATATAACAATACGAAAAATTATTATGATAGTAACAATATCAACAATTATAATAATTTGGATTTGTAGTGTTTCCGTTTATTTTAGTTGCGGTGCCTTCAAGGTACTCAAAGTATGAGGCATCATTGATTTTTACACAATTCCCAATTATTAAGTTGTTCTTTCAACAAAGCCTCTCTGTTTTCAGTGAAAAAAACAAACAAAAAACAAAGTTGAGAATGCAAATCAAAGCTTTGATGACAACAACAATGTGATAATGTTGCGGTGTTTCACTGCGCGACAGTACTGATATTTCTGATAGCCCGTGAAGGCAGCATGAGAAATTGGGACTTCTTCCGTGTTTACCTGCAGGCCTTAAAGAAGGGAGTTTCACAAATGGATGTTAGTTTGAAGTGAACAAGGCGTCAACAAAGCATTCATTAGTGTCCTTGCATTTGTTATGCGTCGAAAGAGAAGAGGAAGCGAAAGTGAAATGAGCTGAAAACAAACAAACAAACAAACTGTTTAACCGAAGCAAAGGCTCTTAAAAGTTTAGTTTTTCGCTTAAGTGAGCTGAAGTCGTCGTCGTCGTGTTGTCGTCCACGATGGGATGTTGTAGCAGCACAGAGGTAAGTTGGCTCACACATTCAGCGGAGTTATGGCTGCTTTAAAACTTGTAAGAGTAATTCGCAGAGGAGTTTGAGACAACGTGCTCAACGACGTCACTTCGGCAGCAGCGGCGGCTTGTTTTCCAACAACAACACACTGATTTGTCTGCTGCAGGCTGCTGACTGAACCGTCCAGCGGTCCCGACAAGACTAGCATTAAGGATATCGATCGTTAGGTGTCATCTTTTATCATCTATTATTTATGCCTTGGCAGAGCAAACGTGACTGGAAACCGCTGGAGGAGCGCAGCTGCACGGACATCCCATGGCTCATCATATTCACGGTGTTTTGTATCGGGATGGTAAGTTTGTTTCACCTGAATGTGCGTGTATACACTTTAATGCCATTTTATTATATGACTAGCTGAAATTAAAGCTGTCTAATGTAATAAATCATGCATTCATGAGGGTTAATTTAGTTGAAACTGTCTTTTTTTTTTTTTTTTTGAGATTTTGGAGACTATTTTATGTCATTGTATAGGATATATACCTAATAATGTGTCTAGCCCATTTATATCAGTTGGGGTAATATTGCATTGCAGTACAATCTCAAAAAACAGAACATTATAACCTTCATGATGGCAGAATACAGGGCTGTTGACAGGTTTGTGTATGCATGCATGTCTACTACATGCTTACATGCTATACTGACCAGCTGAATGCATAGAAATAAAGTTGGAGATCAGT